AAGGCATGGTTTACATAAAGAAAAGTGTGTACACTGTGGAGAATTCCGTAGATAAGATAGACATTAGAGCCATTTTCAGAAATGAAGATGGAAACTGGAGAACCTTTATGACCAGCTGGCTGGTGACAGAAATGGGGCTAATCCAGCCCAGCCTCCTGCCTGCTCACCTGTAAGGTTACATATATTCCTGAATGCTAGCTTTGAAAAATGAGGTTTACATCCAGTTTTTCAAAACAGTGTGTGTGATCACTCAGATACCAAAAAAATTCTTAAGTGAAAAGAATTGTCCTTCCTTTTTATTTTTTGGTCTTTTTGAGAGAGAGTCTCACTACACAGTTCAGGCTGACCTCGACCTCATTTTATAGCTTAGGCTGGTCTCAAATTTGCAACAATCCTCCTGCCTCAGCCTCCCCAGTGCTAGGATTACAGGTGTGCGCCACCACATCCAGCCCTCCTTCCTTTCTGAACAAAGCTTGAACCTCATTATTTTTCTAGGGATAATGAGTACTTAGTCTTAATTTGTTCTGAAATGTATTTCTTTTCCTTTGATGTGCTAAAGCCACAATTCAAGCATTTTGCTTTTTAAAAAAATTTTAGATTGAAAACAAATCATTTCTTAAAATGATACAGTGTGATACTTCTTCCATAGTAGCTGTTGTCTACTATTCTGGTTGGTACTGTGGGCTATTGGGAGTTGATTTTCCTCTGTATTATTTCTGAGGCCCGCCTTGTGCATACTCTGTTGTCTGCCTTCTTTCTTTGCAAAGCCCCCACTTCATCACAACATCCATTCTGTTACTTTTTTTTTGGTGTCACGAATCGAATCCAGGGCCTTGCACTTGCCAGGCAGGCACTTACACCACTGAGCTCTATCCCTGGCACCCTATCCATTTTGTAGTTGGCCACTTCTTAGGCTGCAATGGAATTGGCTCAGGTGGCTGCTTAAGCAGAAAGAGAAGAGCCAGCTATTTCTTTAAAAACAATACAAAGCAAATCAAATCGAAACTTACCTACATGTACATCTTCTATTCTCCAGTTCCATAGTGGCTCTTCATGCTTGGCAAACGTTTGTAGCCTCCCTATCAGGTATCTGGGCTGTTAAGAGAGTCCAAGTTGAGTAATTCACAGTCCCTGACTTCAGGGAACTCCCAATCGTGTAAGATGAGGCAGTTGAAAAAATAGATGCAGTGATTTTTCTTTTTTAATAACCTGGTAAAGGTGCAGTCATAGGAGGTAAGAAGAGGGTGAGCATGCAGGAAATGTCAAGAAGACTCCTCATGATGAGCCTCGTGCAGAGCCCCTTACGGGACTGTATTCAAGGAAGGGGGAGGAATCAGAGTGTTTACTGAGGGTAAGTTGGTTTGTTGAGGGAAGAGATAGGCTGACTATAGGAAAGACTTGCTATATTACGTTGATTTCATTGTCTATATGAATAGCTAATGTGGGTACAAAGTACAATGTCCAAGGGGATTAAAAGGGAATATATCAGTGGAAACCTTTTCTCCTCTGTTAACCGTTTAGTTCCCTTCCCTAAAGGCAGCAGTTAGTTACCAGTTTCTTATGCATCATTCCAGTCGGATTTTCAGGGGATCCAAGTATCTTTGTTTGTGTGTGCCCATGTCTGTGTATGTGTTTGTTTGTGTGTGTGTGTGTGACATGTCCTTTAAAAGTACATGCATGTAGCTAGGTGTGATACACACATCTGTAAGCCCCATTATCCTTAAGACAGTGATGGCAAACTTTTTAGAGCTTTGAATGATACAAACAGCCCACTAGAGCACATATCATCTGTGTTCACCATCACTGTTCCAGGAGGGTGATACAGGAGGAAAGAGAGTTTTGAGAGTTCAAACCCAGCCTGGGCAATTTAGTGACTTTGTGAGACCCTATCTTAAAGTGAAAAATAAAAAGGACTGGGGAATGGAGCTCAGTGTGAAGGCAGTGGGTTCCATCCTTATTTCCCACCCACAACCGCTTCAGAAAATTGAAGCATTCAAATGGATTTCTTCACCTAGTAGTTTTAGTTGTTGTTCCATATTGACACAGATTGAACTTCTCTGTCTTTTAAAAAGCACTGCCTAATATTGTTATATTTGGTTTACTGTAACTTGCTGGTTGTGCTATTGTTTTGCCTTTACAAACAATGTAGGGAATATCCTGCATTGCATACATGAATTTTTTTTTTCTTTTTTTTTTTGTCTTTGTCATTTTGAGACGGGGCCTCACTATGCAGTTCAGGCTGGCTTTGAACTCACTATGTAGCCCAGACTACAAAACTCTGATCCTTCAGCCTCAGCCTCCCAAGTGCCAGGATTACAGGCGTGTGCCCCCACACCCGACTGCATACATGATTTCTGAGGACAGATTGTAGAAGTAGAATTGATGGACCAGATAATATCTACAATTTGGGGACAGAAATAAACAAGTTTCCCTCTGAAGAGGGTATACATTTGTTAAGTAGTAGAAAATTTAAGATTCTTTATCATTAGGGCACTGCTTCCCTACCCTCACCAATTCTCTAAAATCCCTGTGGAGTGCTCTTCCTAATGACATTGGTCTAACTTTCCTACTTATCATCTTTATATCCTGGTTTTCAGGATAGCTGTTAAACTCCTTGACTTAGCCTATCCTGGGCCTCCTCCTATTTGATATCTCCTTTTTTTCTTTCCTTTCCTCTTTCCCTCCCTTTCCTCCATTTTTAGACCTAGGTACATCCTACACATTCTTTAGGCCTTAGTTTAGCTTCATATCCTCTGATAGTCTTTCCTGCCTACCTGCATTTGTGCACAGAAAACCTACGTACCATCTCATCCATTCATCCGTTAAATGTGTGCTGGGCACAAACTGTGATGTGGCACATGCATATAGCATTCTTCATGACCCAGTGCTGTTGCCTTGAGGGTTACCTGGTGGCAACCTGGTGGCTGTATATGAAACAGCAGTACATTGTCAGTCTGTTGTTAGCCATCTGGAGCGCTGGACACATTCTTTAATATCTTTGGATTTCAGTTTTGGCATCTGTCAATGAGAGGGTGGAGCTCTGTGAGCTCAGAGACCACTGATGCTTAGGTCTTATTGGTAATTAAAACTGCAACAGTAGCCATGCATGATGGCACATCTGTAATCCCATCACACAGGGAGACTGAGGCAGTAGGATTTAAATTCAAGTCCAGCCTGGCCAATTTAGCAAGTCATTAAGACTGTCTCAGAATAATAAACTCACTGCAAAGCCCTGTGTTCAATCCTCAGTACCACCAAAACCAAACAAAAGCAACAGGGATTACTAAGGATCAAGCAACAGGGGTTAAAAGGGTCAGGCACTTTGCTATAAATTCTTTGAACCTAAACCTTACATCAACCCTGCAAAGACAGTATGATTACTGTCTTTATTCTGTAGATGGGGAAACTGAGGCTAAGAGGTTCTGTGACAGGACAGTAGGGGAAACATTCAAATCCAGGCATTGTGACTACCATTCTCAGGTCAGTGAGTGTATATACATTTACACACACACAAAATTTTTTTTGTCTTTTTTTCGTTTTTATCGGTACCAGGGATCGAACTCACGACTACCTGCTTGCAAGGCAGGTGCTTATGCCGCTGAGCTAAATCCCCAGCCCCACAAAAATTTTATATACTCTTTTTAATCACTCACACACAACCTCAGACCCCTTCACAAATCTCCTTTAAGCTTCAGAGGCTCATGTTGGAATCTCAGTTTGAGCTTGAGGGAGAATATACTACATGCATAATTATTTGAGGGAAGAGGATGAGGACCAATGGCTAGGTTTGTGCTTGGTCCTGGCTAATGATTATTGAAGATGCTCATAACTGTTTCTCTGGACTGAGAGAACTCTCTTGCTGTTTGCGGTTACTCTTCCTAAAAGTCACATGGGCCTGTGTCAGAAATTCAGGTGCAGATTAAAATCATATCTGGTTAATGTCTGGCAGAGTCTCAGGGGCATCCTTTATTAGACTTGTGGAAGGCAGGCCCTCTTATCTATGTTCATAAAGCCTTTATAATAGAGATGAGAGCATGTGAAATTTTTAAAAAGGAAGTAATTTTATTTGGACTACCTGTTATAAACTAGAATATATGAACAACTGGCAAATGAAATTAGATAAGGTAACTAAAATATAATAGATCCACATTGTAATGTATCACCTAGCCAGCTTCTTACCTAAGGGAATATAGAAAATAATTCTTGAAAGTCTTGATCTCTGATTGTTTTTAGTTTTTAAAGACATTAGTTTCCATTCTTCTGAAATCTCTTTGAACCTAAGTGGGTGGCATGGCTAATTAGCAATGTAGCCTGTTCTCTGCCCCCATCAACATCAGGGACAGCCTGACAGAATGTGGTCTCTCTGGTCACAAGTGTGTCAGATGAGCCTTGATTAATCAGGCCATTCTTGAGATTCATCGCTGTGGAGTCAGATCCTTAGTGGCTCCTCCAGCCTCTGGCAAGTGAGCAGGCTGGCTGGGGCCAAGGCTCCTCCTGCTGCATTCCTTCTCTAGGCGGTGTGTTTCTGCCTTGAAGACATGTGCTCATTTTCATATCCCCCACCCTCTGCCTTGATTAGCTGTGTTCTGAGCCCAGGTTGTAAAGGCAGAGCTTGACTTGGGTATAGCAGCTCTGTGTCAACAGCTGCCTGTCTGGTGGAGCCTCTGAGGCCAGGGTGGGGTAGAGCCGGGCCCTTTGAAATTTCTGTCGTGCCCAGTGATGTCCAGGTGAGCTTGAGCTGGCTCCTGGCTGTGTTCCAGGCATCTGGCTCCTGGATGGGATGCTGATGGCAGCTAGCTGCAAGGCTTGGCCTTTCCCCCAGAAGGAGCTGAAAAACCATTTCTGTACTTGGTTCTTCCTGGCAGCAAGGATTCTGTTGCTAGATTTTTTTCCTACCTTTGTATGGGATTGTGACTTCTTTAACAAAATGCTTGCTTTTCATTAACTTATGGCTAAAATTTTCACTTACAAGTCCTTGTTTTTTTATTTATTTGTCATAGGTGAATCTACTCCTTGCTGGCTTTAGGATTCCTACTTCAGGATTTTAAATTTTGTCTTTTTAATAAAACTCTGACGGATAAAAGATGTGCCATGGCAGGATAGCACCAAAGAGCAGCTCAGTGTTGGTTGCAGCCTCCGTGAGATATGGAATGTTCCTTCCTCTGGTGATCCTTAGCACCCTGCTTGGAGACGGACTTGCTTCAGGTAAGTCCCAACCTGCCTTCTGTGTGTTGGAGGGAAAAGGATGTCATACCATTGTTTCCTCCCAGAAGTTTCCGTAAGGGGCTCTTTCTGGCAGATTGCTGCTGGGAGAGCAGGAGTGGGGTGTAAGGGTCTGTACTGTGGTGTATAGCAGTCTGTAGTATATGTAACAGCCTCTCTCACAGTAGAGGGAAGTGTTGGAACCTGCTGGTGATAACATTATCTTTCCTTCCTGCCAGCATCCTCACCAGGCAGGGCGGTGAGTGAACACACACTGCCTGTTTCAGAACCATTGCTGTGCTGGCTCTGTGACCTTGAGCTAGTGGCCATCCTGCTGTGTGCCTTAGCCTCAGTTGCAGAGTAGGATAATAATAGTGTCCACCTCACGGGGTGGGGAGGGGGTTGTCAAAATTGCCAAGATAACCCAGTAAGCATTCAGTGGTTTATTCTTTTTGGTTTGTCTTGTCTTTACTCTTTTTTCTCAGAGTGAATACGTAATTGAGGTATTGTGATATGTCTGGTAACTGACTACAGACATGATCTTTAACAAGCTACTTAACTGTTTTGTGGCATAATTTCTTTTGTTTGTGACATGAAGACTTTGACCTGGATAATCTTTAAGACCACTCACATCTGGCTTCTTCAGTCTAACTTCCATTATTCTAAGGAATTTTTTTCTGCAGAGATACTAAGGATTGAACCCAGGGTCTTCTCACTAAGATACACCCCAGCCTATTTTTTTCTTTATTTTACGACAGGCTCTCATTAAATTGCCAAGTTGCCCAGGTTGGGATCTTCTTGCCTCAGCCTCTCCAAGTATTGGGATTACCATCATCCTGGGTGAATGATTCTTAGAACTTTGTAGTTGAAGGTGATGAGCTGGAGGATCCCTAACAGGAAATGTAGCCATGAGCTATTTTGATTTTGTGTGGTTCTTGTTGCCTTCAACAATGCTCTGAAGACCCTCCTAGTTTCTCCTCCAGACCTGGCATCTTTTTAGAAAGGGTGTGTTTGGGTGTGTTTAGTAGGCCTCTGGGTAATGAGCCAGAGCCCGCCTCTGTATCTGTGAGTCCTACTATCATTGAGCCTGATAGTAATGGCTCCTGTACCAGACTTCATTAGAAAGGTATGTATGACCATTTCATTGGCCGGTACATTTGTATTCCCCAGGGAGGATCTCAGTGCTAGATTCTGAAAGGGGACTTTCAAGGTGCCAGCGGGGAATGGTATATTGTGACTAGAGTCCCCGAAGCTCAGTCATGTCTTTTACTGACTTCTGTCTGCTTCTGCCACCTACTTACCCACACATACAGGTAATAGTACTCAAGCTCATCTAATTTTATCTTTTCTTCTGAATTGTTGGGAGAACCAATTGATTTTCTTTTTATGTTGCTGTTCCATTATAGCCTTCCCCAGTCATACAAATACCTCTTTTCTTTTTTGTTTTGGTCTTTTTCCTTTTTATCAGTACTGGGGATTGAACTCACGACTGCCTGCTTGAAAGGCAGGCGCTTATGCCGCTGAGCTAAATCCCCAGCCCCCCTCTTTTCTTTTCTGCTGTCTCTCCATCCACCCTATTCTGACTCTAAACCCCAACTTCTCCTTAGCATGAGGAATCGTGCATAAGTGAGTGGTGGTGGAGATCCCAGAGTATAGGCATCTTGGTTATTCTGAGGTTTCAAGGGACAAGAAGAATAAATTACACCAGTGTGTGACAGAGTGAAGTAGGGCACACACTTATTGGGACTCTCTAAAGCCAGAGGAAATCTCTAGCACTATAGCTACAAAACTGTGAGTGTCAAGACTGTCTTGCTCACCACTGTATCCATCTCTGGGGCAGAAGTTGGTGAACTATGACCCTTGGACCAAATCCTGCCTGCCATCTGCTTTTATATGGCCTTCGTGCTAAACATTTAAAATTTTAGAAAATATCAGAGGAATAATATTTCCCTAACATGTAGAAATTATATGAAAATCAAAGATAGATAAAATTTGATTGAAACATAGAAATGCTTATTCTGCTCTCTACTTTTGTGCTACAGTGCAATGGCATAGTTGAGTGTGTAAAAACTGTGTGACCTGCAAACCCTAAAATAGTTAAGGTTTAAAATATTTAGTTTTTTAACACCCCACCCCTATCCTGTGCTTAATAGGTATGCATGAATGGAGCAACTGTCCAAAACGGAAGGAAGAGCTTGTCAGAGCCAGGTCAGAATTCAGAGGCTGTACTCTTGCTCAGGATCTTGCAGCTAATAGTAGGGCCAGGACCAGAGCCTGCCCTATTTTGCACACTGCTGTGACCTGCCTCTTGCAGGCTGCTTTGGGGCAGTTGCCTTGGCATGTTTGGCAGCAGTATTAGTGGCAGAACATCAGAAGTATTTAGCCTTGATAGCTTCATTAAGCCGTCCTACCTACCCCCACCCTCTTTTTTTGTTGGCTTTATGCCTTCCTCATTCCATTCCCCACCCCATTTTCCATCTCCCACATCTTCCCAACTTTCCACCCAAGGTCTGAAATCAATTATGAGATTCCAAACTGGCTGGATAAAGGGATTATTATTCCCCAATATGGAAAAATGTGTCTGTTTGTAGTGTGGGTTCAGACTAGGTTGGGAAAGTTGCTCTGTTGTTTTCTTTTCCCTCCTCCATGGCAAAGAATCCTCTCTCTCCTGTCATCTCAACCCCCGAGTCTTTTCTACTCCCCATAAAACCTGAGTACTGGCAAGGAGTAGAGTGCAGGCAGAAAGAGGGGTTTCACCATTACTTAGATCCAGTGTACCAGATTACTGCCCGTGTTTTCCCCTATCTGGAGTGACGTGTAGGGGTAAGAGGTGCCCACTCTTTGTTATGAATTCTACAACACACCTGTGTGGTTGTGCTTGCCATGAGTAGCATGCTAAGCTGGCTTGCCAGGAAACCTAGACTGTCAGATGCTCCAAAGCTAAGTGAAGGTAGTTCTGTTGAGGAAAAACTCCCTACCTGTCCTTCCTGCCTTTCTTTTCAGTTCTAGTAGTTGCTGTTTAACACCCATTCCAAAGATTTTTGTGTTTTGTTTTGTTTTGTTTCTTGAGTCCAGGCTGGCCTTTAACTCACAGTGATCCTCCTGCCTCAGCTTTGTGCTGGGATTACAGATTTGTGGTACCATGCCTGGCCGCACACATTTTTAGGTAGGGCACTTGTAAAATACCCAGCCTTGTTAGCCAGTGGGCTCTGGTAGATCCTAAACACGCTTATGTGTTTTGTGCATTTGTAACTATGAGAATCCCACTGGGCCATAGATAAAACAGGCTTCTTTGAGGAGCAGTTTGCATGCACAGTCTGTGGGAATAAAAAACACAGAATAAATACCTGCTGCAGTCTTGTTCACATTAAGTAGAAAAAGAATAAATAGAAAAAGAATCATGTATGAAGGAGCACTTGATAGTTCTAGGGTAGAATGACATATTTGAGATACAGTTTCCATACTGGTTTCTCTTATCTACAACTTAGTATTTGGGGTTGTAGCAGAGAAGGTATTAGGAACCAGGGTCCAACTTTCCTATGGTCTTTCCTTTAAATGGGGAAAATTATTGAAAAGATTTCATTTAGGAGTGCAAAAGGAACCATATCGTATTCTTTACACCCTGTCACACCATGGAGTGAGAAGAACAGAATTCAAAATGTGTCTGCACATGCTACCCAATGTGCCTTTCTTAGAGAAAGGTTAGGATCCCACTTGTGTAGCAGTCTCTCTCAAGTCTCAGCTCTTTTTCCTCTGCCTCTGATCTTAAGAAACCTGCTGTTTGACCTTAGGCAAATCATTTGACCTCTTCGTGTCTGTATAAAACAAAACAAATTATCCTTATGAATGTTAGGTTGGTGGTGTTGTGTAGACTAATAAAAATGATTGGAGGGCACTTGGCATATAAAACATGTGATGGCTGTGTGATGTAATTCACAAAAAACAATGACAGAGTTGGTATGTGACCTATTATTGAGTCACGTTGCACAGGAGACTTCATGAAGGTGACATTCTTTACTATAATAAAAACAAAACTGAAGATGCAGAGTCTCTGGTTGGGTTTGGGGGCATTTAGAGGTATCTTTTCTTTGCAATGCGAATGAGGTGTGCAAAGGCTGCTGACCGCAGTTTGACCAGTGAGGATAGGTTGATTACTTTAGGAATCCCCTTTCCTTCCAGAATGCTCATGTTTGCATAGTGTGATGATTTCAAACCAGTTGGCTTGCTGATTCATATAAAAAGCATTTGCTTTGCATTCGCTGTCTTTTCTGGATGTGTTTACTGAACAAAGTCAGTATTTTCTTTGTTTGTAGTTTCTTCCCCCTTAAATGTTGCTGTGACACATTAAGCCATGTTAAACATCACTGCCACCTAAAGCAATTTTAAAATAGCAGGAAAAGCAGCCATCTACATTTCTATACAACAGCAAGAAAGCCAGGCACTTAGTTTTCATTGAAGATGGAAAAATGTAGGTTCCTTGGGTGATGTTGTAGCTTTGGCCTGTAGCATTGCCATGGCAGGGAGATGTTGGCAGGCAGCCCTGGCCCCCCTCACCATTTCTGAAGGGACCTAGCCTTAGAGAATGTACACTGTACTGAGTGAAGAAGACATGAACTGACATAGGAAGCATCATTTATGTCTCACATGCTGTACTATTACACTAAATAGAGCTGTCAGAACACATGGGCTAGGTGGTTGTGAAATCATTTTATAAAAGAGAAACTAAGTCAAGGAATGTTAATGTACTTGGAGATATGATTGTAAATGGTGGAGCTGGCCAGGATTTATATCCAGCGTGTCTGACTCTACAGCCCATGGTCTTTGCTGAAACCACACTGTGCCAAGAGGCAGACATCCTGTAGGCTCATTTGTGTGTGTGTGTGTGTGTGTGTGTGTGTGTGTGTGTGTGTGTGACAGGGTCTCTCTATGCAGTTTAGGCTGGCCTTGAGCTCACTTTGTAGCCTAGGCTGGTCTCGAACTCGTGACGATCCTCCTGCCTCAGC